GAGGAAGGCATGCTGCCTGACCAGTTGTTGGGATTCAGACTCCATGAGTCACAATCTGAATCATCAGACTGCACTCCGCTCAGTGGACCAAAAGGAGACAGTAGACCAATCAACCCGAGCTCCAGGAACTGGTAAGACACCCCAAGGTGCCCAGTCAGTCAAGGCCATCAAATGGTGATAATGGGAGTATAATCTCCTCCCAGCAGTTATTCTAACTGCTCAGGTAGACTGTTTGGGGAAGTTTGTCTGAATTTGAAAGATAGAAAATGAAAGTGGTGTGAATGTATGTGGCTCCATAGCCTTTAGGCTACAGAGTCTGATTGGGCTCTAACCTGGGGTACTCTGACAACCTCATGCAGATGAAGGTGGCCCCAGCCCCATAATAGGGCTGGTCCAGATTGGGGGGTTATACCAACCTTCCAATTGCTAAGAGACATATTAAATTCCCTTCGGGGCAGTGACCAGGCAGGCGATACAAGCACTGTCCTGAAGGTACCTTCAACAGGTCTTTGTCTTTTGATCTGCAACATCGATACAGTGGGAGGCACACTATGGGAAGGTCCACTTCAAAACTCATTGTCTTAGACTACATGATCAAAAACTTCAGGAAAGATTATATAGGAGATTGTGGTATCAAAATGTCTCCAAGAAAACTGAAAACTCTGCACAATAGAGTGGCCAATGTTAACTAAGGAATGACCTCCAGAGGGAACTCTGGATGTAACCAAGATAAAGGCTGTGTACCAGGTGGCAACCAGGGAGCTGGGCCACCCAGATCAGTTCCCATGTATAGATTCCTGACTATAGATTGCATTAGCTCAGTCCCCTTGGATAAGGTTTTGTGCTGGCACACAGGGACAGAGTAGAATTTTCCTAGCCAAGGGTCTACTTCAACCAAAAGATCAAAACCGAGACCAAGCTAAAAATCTGCCAATCATCTAGAGAGACCCAGATGATGAGCCTCCATTGTGACCACCCCCCTATATCACGCTACTAATACCAGAGGCCCCCTCTTCACCACCAGTAATACCAGAGACACCCTCCTTGCCAGACAGATCACTACCATCTGTGTCCCCACCACTGCCTGCAGAGCTGGACCAAATGGGGAGGTACCCTTGCTCAACCTCAAGCCAACAGTCTGCACTCCAAAAGACCCTGTGCGACATCAGAGGCCCCCGGCAAATGATACGAGAGCAATATAAAGAGTGGACAATCTATCTTCTGTTACCAGCCATTTGCTAGCATGGACTTGCTAAATTACAAACATCACACCCCCTCTTACTCAGAAAAACCCCTGGCCATAATCAGCTTAGTTGAGTCCATCTGTCAGACTCATCTTCCCACTTGGGGAGATTGCTGCCAGCTCCTCCTAACCCTTCTCAGTACTGAGGAGCAGTGATGAGTAATGACAGAAGCCTGAAAATGGATGGTAAGATGTGCCCCAGGAGGCTTATTATATTCTGAGAACTGGGTAAGGGTCACTTTCCCACAGGAGGATCTACATTGGGACCCAAACCTGGAGGGCAGGAGGACCAACCTAGAAAAATATCAAGGAGCACTCCTGGAAGGATTAAAAGCAGGAGTTAAGAAACCCATCAATATGTTCAAGACTACCAAAGTCCTCCAAAAGTCAGATGAAAGTCCCTCAGACTTTTATGGGAGACTTTGTGAGGCTTTCCGGTTATATATCCTCTTCAACTCTGAGACCCTCGAGTATTAGTGCATAGTGAATGCCACCTTCTTGGGCCAAACATAGGGTGACATCTGAAGAAAGCAACAAAAGTATGAAGGGTTTGCCAGAATGAATAGCACCCAACTACTGGAGATAGACAACAAGGTCTTCATAAACTGAGAAAAAACTGCAAAGAAGGAGGTTGACAGGAAGGCTGACCAAAGAGTGAGGCAAAAGGCAGCTCTCCTTGCTGCAGCCCTAGACCAGTCAACTGAATTTGAGTCACAGAAAACAAAAGCAAAGCCCAGGACCCGTGTCCCCTTACAACATGATCAGTGTTCGTATTGCAAGAAAATTGGACACTGGAAGAAGGACTTCCCTGATAGACCTTAGAGGGAAGAGAAGAAAAATCAAGGGACAGAGATGAACACTGCCCCATAAAAGATGGCACCCTCTGCTACTGGTTTTATTGAGCTAGCCAGCATTGACTCAGACTGAGACAGACAAGGTTCAATCAACTTAGGCCCAATGAGCCAATGGTCAAAATAAAGGTTTGGGGCCAATCAATGGACTTTATGGTGGACACTGTAATAGAGCATTCAGTTGTAGCCAAACCAGTTGGGCCCATGTCAAAAAGAAAAGCAAAAATCATGGGGACTACCAAAGCCCAAATCAAAAGCTATTTTTGTGAAACTTGCAATTGCATCATGGGGGGACACCAGGTAAAACATGATTTCCTGTATGTCCCAGAATGTTCAATACCCTTGATGAGAAGGGACTTGCTGTCCAAGCTGGAGGCCCAGATCACTTTCTCAGTTGATGGCCCTGCCCATCTTAAACTGCTGGGACTCATGTAACTGGGACCTCCAAAGGACACCTCCTTAATTTTGTCCTTCACAATTTCTCTAGAGGAAGAATGGAGACTCCATTCCCAGCTCGCCACGAACATCAACCCGGCCCTGGAAACATGAAGCCTCCACTTCCCCAGAGTTTGGGCTGAGAAGAACCCACCCAGGCTAGCCATCAATCATCCACTGGTAATAGTCGACCTGTTGCCCAAAGTCCACCGGTAAGGGTCTAACAATATTACTTATCTCAGGAAGTCAAGATTGGCATCCAAGTTCACCTTCAATGATGACTCAATTGCGGGAGTGTACACTTGACTTCTGCACTTGGGAAGTGTACCAGATCCTCTGCTAGGACCTCTCCAAATATGGTGGGGTAATTCTTAAACCCCTGGGGGAAACTAGGTCCAAGTTAATTGTTCCTTTCAGTCTTCCCATTCAAAGGCAAACATGGACTGAATTACAGGTGAAGAAACCAGGCACCATTACTGACCTGTCTAGGACCTGTGGGCCATCAACCAAGCCACAGCAACCATCCTTCTGGTGGTCCCTAACCCATACACCCTCCTAGGTCTCATACCTGCAGATGCCCAATGGTACACCTGTCTGGATCTGAAGGATGCTTTCTTCTGCATTTGCCTGGCACCTGTAAATCAGTCCATATATGCCTTTGAATGAAAGACTGAAAGGAGCAATTAACTTGGACCTGGTTTCCCCAGGGGTTTAAGAACTACCCCACCATATTTGGAGAGGCCCTAGCCAGGATCTGGCACACTTCTCAAGTGCAGAATTCAAGTGTACACTCCCACAATATGTGGATGATCTCCCCCCTCGCAAGTGCAACCTTGGAGGACTGCACTAAGGGAACAGAGCCATTGCTAGACTTGCTCCAAAAAGCTGAATACAGGGTATCCCTTAAAAAGGCCCAGATTTGCCAAAAAACAGTCAAGTACTTGGAGTTTCTAATCTCAAAAGAGCATTGGGCCTTGGGGCCTCAATGGAAAAAGGCAATTTGGGCCCTTCCAACCTCGAAGACCCTAAGGCAAATCTGAGAGTTTCTGGGACCACTAGATTCTGTCGCATCTGGATCCCTAATTATTCATTAATAGTCAAGCCCCTCTATGAAGCCACAAAGTGAGGAGAAAAGGAACCATTCCAATGGGGGCAACAATAGGAAGCTTTTCTTACCCTTAAGAAGCCTTTACTAGAAGCCCCTGCCTTGGAACTCCCTGATGTAACTTGAAAATTTAATATCTTCATTCATGAGAAAAAGGGAATGGTTCTGGGAGTTCTAACTCAGAACATAGGACCTATGGCTTATCTGTCCAAACAGACATAGTGGCAGCTGGATGGCCACCCTGCCTGCAGGCCCTGGCTATCACTGTTCTCTTGGCTGAAGAGACAGACAAACTAAGCATGGGACAAATCCTTAACATTAAAGTCACTCATGCAGTCACGGCCCAAATGAACCACCAAGGGCACCATTGGCTCACTAATCCACACATGAGCTACTACCATGCATAAGCTTTCTGTGTGGAAACCCCTGGGTGCACCTAGAGACTGCCAGAACTTTAAATTCAGCCACTTTCTTACCTGCTGAACCAGGACCCCCAGACCATGACTGTATTGAAACAACAGACAAGATCTACTCCAGCTGCCCAAATGTCACAGATCTGCCTTTGCCTTCTCCAGACTGTGTCCTCTACACTGATGGAAGCAGCTTCCTGTTAAATGGAAAGTGTTTGGTGGGATATGTGGTCATAATGGGAACAATAGAATCAAGGGCCCTTCCCATGGGATGATCAACTCAATGGGCAGAGCTAATGGCTTTAATCAGGGTCCTTGAATTAAGCAAGGGACAGAAGGTAAATATCTACACAGACTCAAGATATGCCTCTGCCACCCTCCATATACATATGGCCCTCTATAAAGAAAGAGGACTCCTTACCTCAGAAGGAAAAGCTATCAAAAATCAAGCTGAAATCCTACGCCTCCTAGAAGCAGTCTGGGATTCCACAGTCATTGCAGTCATTCACTGCCAAGGACACCAAAAGGAAGAGTTCCATAATCAAAGGAAACCAGAGGGCAGACATGGAAGCCAAACAGGCAGCCATGACAGCAAACCCTCAGGCCCCTCCTGACAAAATTTCAATAATTTCAGTCCTGCCCAAACACTCAAGCTATACCCAGGAAGAAGAAAGCTGGATAAAAAGGAAAAAAAGGTGGCTTCTCCCCGATGGTTGGCCCTTTGTCCCAAACCACCTGGCCTATCCCCTATTTCACCAACTTCATGAAGACACCATATGGGAAAAACAGCATTAGAAACCTTAGTAAGCCCTTCTTCGCAATCAAGCTGAGTCAGCGCCCAGGCCTGAGATCCACTGCAGCCTCCTTGGTGTCACCCTCCGCCTCCTGATCATGGACTCCCTGAAAGTTAGCGAGCTTCGAGATGAAAATGTGTCCACAGGACCCAAGCGTTCCTGAGGAAGTGGGTGGAGAGCACGGCAGGTAAAATACCACCTGCTATTCAGAAAGCTAAATTAGAAGAAAATATCAAGAAAAAACAGATAGTAAGAAGACAGAGGAAAATATAAAGATAGATGAACCATCAAGTGAGGAAAGTGATCTAGAATTTGATAATGAAGGTGTGATTGAACAAGATACTGATGTCCCTCAAGGAATGGGAGATGAAAATGCAGAGTTAACAGAGGAGATGATGAGTGAGGCAAATGAGAAAAAGTGGCTGCCATTGAAGCTCTTAATGATGGTGAACTAGAGAAAGCCACTGACTTATTCACACATGCCATCAAGTTGAATCCTCGTTTGGCCATTCTGTATGCCAAAAAAGCCAGTGTCTTCATCAAATTGCAGAAGCCAAATGCTGCCATCAGAGACTGTGACAGAGCCATTGAAATAAATTCTAATTCAATTCAGCCTTACAAGTGACGAGGGAAAGCACACAGACTTCTGGATCATTGGGAAGAAGCAGCCCATGATCTTGCCCTTGCCTGTAAATTGGATTGTGATGAAGCCACTAGTGCAATGTTGAAAGAAGTTCAGCCTAGGGCCCAGAAAATTGCAGAACATCAGAGAATATATGAATGAAAATGTGAAGAGTGAGAGATCAAAGAAAGGGTTTAGAAGGGTCCGGAAGAGCAAGAGAGGGCCCAGAGGGAGGAACAAGTCAGATGACAGTCAGGAACTCAGTATGCCTCTTTTCCAGGTGACTTTCCTGGGGGAATACCTGGTAGTTTTCCTGGAGGAATGTCTGGAATGGGAGGAGGCATGTCTGGAATGGCAGAAATGCCTGGACTCAGTGAAATTCTTAGTGATCCAGAGGTTCTTGCAGCCATGCAGAATCCAGAAGTTATGGTGGCCTTCCGGGATGTGGCCCAGAACCCAGCAAATATGTCAAAATACCAAAGTAACCCAAAGGTTATGAATCTCATTAGTAAACTGTCAGCCAAATTTGGAGATCAAGCATAATGCCCTTCTGATAAAAAGCCCTTGCTGAAGGAAAAGCAACCTAGATCACCTAAAGGATGTCGCAATAATACAAACCATTGCACCTCTGACCTTATCAATAGAGCTGGGGTGCTTTGAAGATGATCCCTCCTCCCTCAATTGCCAATACAGATAAAGCATTTTACAGTGGTTTGCCATTAAGGTATTCATTCAGATAATGTTTTCCTACTAGGAATTACAAACACTTTTTAAACCTTAAAAATATTTAAAACAAATTAAAATGGTGTGTGAATTCCTACTTTTTCTTTACTAATAATTTTGGATTTTTTCCATTGAATTATTGGGCAAGGAAGATAAGTATGGAACATTATTGTTCTAGTTTGAGTGAAATAAGTTTATTAGTAGGGCTAATATAACTAATTTAAATGGGTAAAGTTTGAGTTGGATATTTAGTTCCTGAAACATTTTGACTCTTCTTTTTAAATGCTTTATTTAAAAAAAATATTTATTTCAATAAAACAAATTGAGACCACCAGTATTCAGTAGGACCTGCGCAGGGACTAGAAGTACTTGGCAGGGTACAGCACCAATCTTACTATATTTCATATGCACCCTTGTGCAGGTTGCATTTAAATCTTATACACTGTGGTGAAGGGGTGTTTTTTTTGTAATGCTGCGGTAGGGTTGGATTACTTAGCTCTGTTCTTGTACAATATATCAAATGTCTCATATTATTTCCATGTAGAGGAAATAAGGGAGTACTTTCCTTTTTATATTTTTATGTGTAAAATTATCTATCCTGGTTAAAAAAAAAATGATGCCCAACTCGATGTTTGCTTTCTTCATGTTTGTTACACTTTTCTCCCTTATTCTTCTTGGGCTTAAAGATCTTCTTTTTTTCACAAGCATCATCACTGCTATCATTCATAGCATAACTGTATAAGCATGTTTAATGCTGACTTTAAGATGTAATACATATGGTAACCGTCAGGTAATGCCCATAATGGGGGTAGGTTCTTAACTTGACCATAAAAATGCTTTAATATTAGACTTCCATTCTGGTAAAATCTTGACATATCAAAAAACATTGGGGAGCAGAACCATTTTAGAAAGCCCTTGAACCCAACTCTGCTCCCTGGATTCGAACGCAGAAATAAACTTCTTTCTACCAAAAAAGAAATATTGGAAGGAGGAAATTCCCTTTGGTGTTTGGTCTTCTACTTAGGAAATACCTGTTGCAGTTAGAATTTATCTTGTATTCATCTTTGTATTTTGAAGAAAATAAGGTTTAAATTAAATTGATATTCATGGAGGGAAATCAGACTTCTTGATTAAGCATGAATTAATAAAAATAAATGAGTTATCCACAGTCATCCATTATATGGGGTTGTTAGAACTACGACAGATTTCATGTCTTCCTATTCAGCTTCTCCTTAAATAGTACAACCATAACCCCACCTCTGCTTTCTTTCCCTCCTCTCGAACTATAAAGAAAATGTTAAATTTTCTGTTGTGCATTCAAGTAACACTAAGTTAGGCATTACCTGACACTACTAGGTTTCTACGATGCTTCAAGGTAGTGTTAGTGTATGAAAGCAAATTCAAGGATGAGACCTTGTGTACTTTGCTTAATTGAAGAATCTGTGATAGGCTCTATGAAGTACCTTTCTAAAATAGCACATTTCTGAAATCAAATATCCAGATTCTAACCCATTACTAGCCACAGGCAGATAGAAATACATCTGTTATATAAATGAGAGAAAGTTGTATGCTGATGGAGCTTGCTTTTTAAATCCTTTAAAAACATTTACCACATAAACTTGCATTTGAGCTTGTGTGTTCTTTTTGTTTTTTTGTTTTGTTTTGTTTTTTGTTTTTGAGTTGAATTCTCACTCTGTCACCCAGACTGGAGTGCAGTGGTTGCTCCTGACCACCACAGCCTCAACCTGCTGGACTCTGACGATCCTTCTGCCTCAGCCTTTCAATTAGCTGGAACTATAGGCACGCACTACCACACGTGGCTAATTTTTTTATTTATTGTAGAGATGAGGTCTCGCCAAGTTGCCCAGGTGGGTCTTGAACCCGCGGGCTCAGGCAATCCACTTACCTCAGCCTCCCAATGCGCGGGATTACAGGCTGAGCCACCGAGCCCGGCTCTTTTTGTTAATATGTATTCTCCTTTTTCAAAATTTCCATTGTGTGCTGGGCTTAACTCAAGAACAATTTCTTCTGGCTTTCTTATTTGATTTACTTGACTCTGCATTGCTTAATTATATGTTAAAATATAATTTGAAAATTAGAAATTTGAAAATTGGAAAATTACCAAAAATTTGTAAAAGTAAAATTGCTGCTCTGAAAATAAGCCCTGTGCTTTTAGAGTTTAAGTTCCACAAATGCAAAATACATTCTTAATTTTCATAGGAACTCAATATTACTTCTAAACCAGAAATGTTCTTTTCTTATGCTAATGATGCTATGAGATGGAAAAAATATTTTCAGTTTTAAAAATTTAGTTATTGGATATTTCTAGCTATGTTAAAAATAAAATATGGTTTTAAACTAGAAAAAAAAAGAAAGAAACCTTAGTAAACCAGTATTACTATATGGACAGAATCCCCACACTTTGCAGAAATGTAACCCAGAGATGTCAGACATGTGCTCACAAAAATGCCAAGAAAGGACCTTCCCAGTCACCAGGAATACAAAAAACTGGACAAAGCCCATTTTAAGACCTAGAAATAGACTTTACCAAACAATCACCCAGCAAAAGATATAAATACCTATTTGTCATGGTATGTACATACTCAGGCTGGGTTGAAGCATACCCCACTAGAACTGAGAAAGGCCGAGAAGTAACAAGAATCCTACTGACTGACGTTTTACCTAGGTATGGAATGCCCTCCTCAATCACACCAGATAATGGGCTCACCTTCTTGGCTGAAATTACACAAGGACTAGCAAGGGTCCTACAAATCAAATGGAACTTGCACACAGCTTACAGGCCTCAGAATTCAGGGAAAGTTGTGCATGTGAACCAAACCCTGAAGCAAATTTTATGTAAACTTTGTCAGGAAACCCAACTGCCCTGGACCTCTGTACTGCCTATGGCTCTCTCCAATTAAGATGATCTCCCTGAGAAGAAATCAAGCTCTCCCCCTATAAAATCCCATTTGGCAGACCTCCTCCCCTTGTAACAGTCCCCAGAAATAGAAAAGAAATAGGAAATCTAGATATCCATTCCCAGCTAGAGCTCATAGCTACAACCATATCCCAGTTATACCGCTGGGTGCTGCAAAGATTTCCCCTGCCTGTAAGAAACCCAGTGCACACTTACAAGCCAGGAGATTTTGTCTGGGTAAAAGACTGTCACAAGGCACCCCTAAAACCCACATGGAAGGGTCCCTACGCCATACTCCTAGCAACTCCCACAACTTTAAAAGTTGCAGGTATAGACACCTGGATCCATCACGCCCAAGTGAAAGCTGCTGCATGACTGGAGGGCTCAGCCAACTGGACGACAACCAGAGACCCTAAGAACACCCTCAAAATCACTCTCTGAGCTCACCATCCTGCCTTCAGAGAACTTACAGAGAGCATCAACCCTGCTTTAGTCACTAAAGAAGCTGACTAATCCATGCACAGTGGAAGCCTGAGGAGCCAGCCATCAAAACCATAAATAAATTGTTTCAATGTTTGTTAATTCACTAAATGTTTTGCTATCAGCCTTTAACCCTTGCCCTTTTCATCCCTATCATCTTGGCGCTGGGTGTGGGTCCAATTGCTGTAACCCTCGCTGATGGGAAATATGGCGAGATGTCTTTATTGCTATTTCTGTATTTCTCATCCAAACTCACAAGCAAAGGTAACTAGATCATCCCCTTTCCATTATCAACATGTCACTGTACCAGATTTACCCTCTTTTGGGCCACACTAGACCAATGTGTCACCTCATGGCAAAAGAGAGGTAAAGTCATTTTCTGTACTCGTGAAATGTCATCTACCCTCGTAATCTACATTACTGCCCCAGAATGCTATATTTGTTATGCTTCTCTTCTCTTCTTAGATAAGAACACATTCCTTCCCCAAAGCCTATCCCAACACAGGCCAAAAACCCCACCTCCTGTTTCAACCAGTAAATATCAGTACAATCAAGGATTCAGTCGTGCTCTTGTAACATCATCTACCTCTGTACACCAAGTAGATGTTTTAAAAACTACAACCTCTGTACTAAAAATGGAAAGGCATACTGGACAAGCAAAATATATAAAAATTCTTACTGGAGTCTGCCAGACCAAACCTGCCCTGATGTTCCCCAAGCCTGTTGGGTCACTTCCGATATAGTTCACCAATATAAGTCAGATAAACCTCTTACCTTAGGCCCTCATCTAAATCAAATGTTAAATGCAACTCATCGCCTCCTTAATGATACTAACCCCAACCTGACCAAAGACAGCTGGCTCTGTTTGTCCACAGCTCCCCCCATTCTACTGCAACTCCAATAGCACAGAAAATTATAAATGTTACCCTGATGACCAACAGTTCAGAGCCTCATGAAATGGGTACTGTACTAACCCAGGTCAAATTATCCCAAAAGGCGTCCAAATGCCTGAAAAGCAAAATGTGAACAAAGCCAGTTGGCAACCTGACCACCAGCTAATGTCACCAGGCTATCAATATCCAGGAACTTGGCCCTCACCTGACAGCCAAACCCTGGTGGCAACCTCTTAAGAGTTGTTCATATGTGGAACAAGTGCCTACCAATGCCTACCTACAGGATAGGAACCTATACTCTGGCCTTCCTCACTCCACAAATAAACATTATTCCCAGTAATCAATCTCTTACAGTGCCTCTAGCAGCATACACCTGAATAAAAAGAGGCATCCAAATTATACCCCTGTTAATTGGACTAAGAATAAAAGCTGGAATAGGCACTGGAACAGGAGGCATTATGGCCTCAACCACATAATATCAACTGTCTAAGGACTTGATGGATGAAATAGAATGAGTAGTTGCATCATTAGTGGCCCTTCAAAATCAATTAGATTCTTTAGTTGA